ACGCTTCTTCAACAACTGCAACGTCCGAACAATAGGACTTGCAAGATCAACTTGTAAGAAAGTTGACCTACCCCCTTTTAATCAAGAAGTTTGATCAAAAGTTGTATCCTTCAACGTGGTGTGGTACTTGAGGCAAGGAAACCTTCAAGTGTTTACACTATAGCTCTTTGGAAGGAGGAGGAGTTTGCTTCTGGATAAGGAGTTTAGAAATCTCTCTTTATCAAGCTTTTTGGGCTGACTGTGAATGAGATAGCTTTGTTGTTAGATTGCTTCGTTGTGTTGTTGTATCAACGTATCTCATCATATCTTCTCCAGTCTTCCAAGGATGCTATTTATAGCTGGATTGGATAATCTATCCGTTGAATCATAATAGACTATCCGTTGCATTTGCTGGCTTCAATTTTGAATGAAGATTGTGATTTGAAGATTCTTTGTAGAAGTGGGTGTTTGGACGTACCCAATTGTTGAGAAAGGATTCCTTTTTCCACAGAATCTGTCTTCTAGCTGTTGTTCAAGAATTCAAGACTGTAGCACTTTACTCTGTTTGTCTTCTAGTACTTATTTAGGAATTCTGGACAGGCTCTTCAATTTTAGAGGCCCAGACTTTGTCTTCGAGTAATTTGTTCTTGAATCAGCATAATTATCTTCAATCTAGCCGTTGAAAATCAAGAGATTGATTTTTCCTTACCAACGGGTAGAATTTCTTCATTCAGGACTTAGATAATTTTCTAAGTCTTTTCTCACTTGTCCGCTTTCTGAGAATTCCGGTCTTCAGTGAGTCTTCCGATTCTTAGCTGACAAATCCGGAGGAGTCATTTTCAGACTTCTGGGTGAGAAGGAGATCCGCGCTAGTCTTCCGATTTGGATGACTTAGCCTTCAGCGGGTTGTAGCGAGACATCCGGTTCTTATGTAGTCTTCCGGATCTGAGGATTTTCATCTGATTGAGAAATCCTTACTTGTCTCTGACATTTCCGATCAAGATATCCAATTTCCATATCTCCGAAAATGATTAAGTCTTCAGGCATCAAAACGCTTAAAGAAATATCACAACTTTATTGGAAATCTCAAGAACTCAGTTTTAACAATATTTCTAAACATAAAAATTACATTGAATATTGAGGGAGACCTAAAGTCCCTAATACATTCTAAATACATCATCATCAAAATCTGTAATATTTTTCCCAACAATTTCCCCCTTTTTGATGATGACAAACAAGTGTTTAAGAGTTCCGGTCGCTGTACTGAGAACTAATTTTATAACTTTCTTTTAGTTTCTCATAATATACAGCTTGTTAACAAAAACTCTTAAGCAGATACAATTTAAATTACAATAATTCCTAAACCAAGTCTTGTCTTGAGATTTTGTGATATCTTCCGCCATTGACCGTTTTCAGCTTCAGCAGATTCTGCTTGGCAGAGCGGTTGGCGTTGCGTTTGATAGATCTTTATTATCCAAAGTGGATAACCAAGATCTAGGAAGCAACACATCTCTCAGAAAAATAAAAATGAAAGAAGAAAACAAAAGAGAGATAAAATGACAAGAAAGAAAAGGTTTTGGAAAAGAGAATTGATTGTGAAAAAGATAAAATAAAGTTTTTAAAGATGAAGGAAACAAAAAAAAATTTAAAAGAAATTTTAAAAAAAAAATTTAGAGAAATTTTGAAAAACTCCTTGAGAGAAGGGAGGAAGGGAAGGAGGTCAAAAAAATAAAAAGAAAAATAGAGAGAGTGTTGTTCTAGAGAAAGTGTATGGTATAATCCTGAAAAATACGAGAATTACACCATAAACTTTCTCTACTGCCGAGAATTTCACCATAAACTTTGAATTACTTTCCTTCTCACTAGGCTTTTCTCCATTGCCGTCTATGAGGGTGAGAAAGAAAAATTTCTCCATTGAGGATATTTTCTTGGTGTTTTTCTCAGACAGTGAGCTTGAAGACTTTCATATTTAGAGAGTTGTTTGTGATGGAAATGGATTGGAATATCTTGATTTAAATAGGGGAGGAGAAGGTTCACGGGTTCCATTAAGTGGGTAGTTGGAACGGTGAGAGTAAAGGAGTTTCAACTTCCAAGAAGTTGAAAAGTAAAAGGAATCTTTTACCAGTTACCAATGAATTGAAACTGTTCCAATTAGAAAATCAGTTTCATTTGGTTTGAGAAACGTAACTGTTTTAGTTTGGCTAAGCCCAAAAGAGTGGCCCAAAAAGAAAAGAAAGCTATGTACTAAAGGGAAATTATTCCTATTGGGTTCTCAAGGCCCAAAATAAGACTATCATTTTTCATTCCCTATAGTTCTAATTTCTACTTAGGACGAGGTAGTACCAAAACAAATATGAATTTTTATTTTTAAAAGAAAAGTGGTACTATTTTTCCAAAGTCTTGTACATTATAAAAATCCTAAGGATCAGTACTTTTAGAGCTAGTTGGAAATGAATTAAGGATTAAAGCTTAGTTTAAGAAGGCAGATTTTGTAAAGTACCTGAATCGGAGATTTCCAATTTTAGTACCAAAACTGAGATATCCGACTTCCATTGCTTAGAGCTCATCAATAATTCATAGCCAAAAACAATTGTTAGCCAAAACTAGTTAAGTTCCCCCTGAATTACATTCCCCCTGAATGTATGCGCTTCAGAAAAAAATAATTAAGACAAAATCATTTTTGAGATAAGCATAATTAAGCAAAATAAGCGCAATTAAGACAATTGTTGAAGCAATGTTGCAATGTTTAAACCAATCAAGCAATGTTTAAACAAGAAGGTGTTTTCATCAAAGCAAATTAGTGTTTTCACATACTTTCCCCCTGGTTTGATGAAAAGAACCTTCAGTTCCTTTTGCGTTTTGAAGATCCGGCAATCTCACTGATGCCCTGCATGTTCCCACACAGTTCTTTGATGCGCCTTAAATTTTCACGCCTTTCCTCCGATTGAGCAGCATCTGAGAAGTGGTCAACAACTGCACCTATAAATTCTGTTCCATC